CTGCCTGGTGAAGAGGATCGCCGCGTCGTGGTGATGCTGATGATCGTCATCCAGAGGGTTCTGCTGATTCTGCCATTTACAGAAGCTCTTGAGCGTCGCGGCGGCGTTCTTGGTCACCTCGATGCCCTTCTCGTTCTCGGACAGGATCGCGACTTTAACCACCGACAGGCGGATGGGGTTCTCGATGCTGGCGTGGCCGTAGAGTTTGGACGCGATGGACGCGAGCGTCAACAGGTAATGGTGCAGGTCCTTCCCGTACTTCTTCGTCATGGACGCGTCCGCGACCAGCAGCAGCTCCACGTGCCGCGCGCGGGACACGGAGCGCTTGCGTCGCGTCAGCGCGTCGCGCTTCGCGTTCCGCGCTTTGCGGTCGCGCGTGCCGCAGCTGTGCCGCGCTGGCATCGCGTCGAAATCGAAGCTCTCGCGCGTGTAATAGTGGAGAGCGCGCGTCGCGTCGGCTCGGATGAGCGGCGTGACGGTGTACCGCGCGTCATCCACTGCGAAAAACCCGTCGAGTCCGCCGCTGCACAGATTGAAAAGCGCAAGCGACTCCGCGTTTGAGTTGACGGTGCCGCGGTAAACGCATTCCCGACGCGGCGGCGGCGCGTCTGCGTTCAAACTGAAGTGATGAGACAGTATAGACTCATCCCGCTCCATATCCAGCTGGAAGCGCTGCTCGTCTATGTACAGAAGATAACCCGCTTTTCCTCCTCCGTGATAAATCCGATCCACAGTGCGCACCACGCCGCGGACAGGTGCGAGAAGAGACGCGTTCGCAGGTGGACGGAACGCAACGGAACCCTCCAGAGCGCAACACAGCAAAACGATCCGCCACATCATTCCATGCAGTTCAATCCGGTGCAGAAAACTTTTGGAAACATTACGATCCGAAACGCAGCTTTAATTGGAGCTGGACTGATCCATGTCCCGGTGCGCATCTCACGCGTCACGGAAATAAGCGCATGAAGGCAGGATGAGAGAGGAGCGAGAACTAAAGTGAACTTGGAGAACAAAACACAAAGTTTCCTCTTAAAAGCACCAGAGAGAGAAAGAGTCCTGCCCCTTTGCGCTCGCTCTCCACTCCAGACCTCCTCCTCTCATTCTTTCCCAACTCTCTCTCTCTCTCTGTTTGTGTTCACTGTACAGGTTCATCTTTGTTAGGGGCCAAATGTTTGAAAATGTCCTCACAAAAAGGGCTTTTTAAATCAGCTTCAAATCTACTAATGTCAAGAGGTTTTAGTATTAGGGTATAGAAAACGCACTGCAAAGTCAAGGAAATACTGTGTTTCTTCATCCTGATGTTCTGTTTGCTTTCTAAAAGCATCATATTGAGGACTTTTCTTTAAGGAAAAGGACCCTGCAGCACAAAACCAGTCATAAGGGTCAATTTTTTAAAATTGAGTTTTATACATCATCTGAAAGTTGAATAAATAAGCTTTTTTTGTTAGGATAGGACAATATTTGGCTGAGATACAACTATTTGAAAATCTGGAATCTGAGGGTGCAAAAAAATCTAAATATTGAGAAAATCATCTTTAAAGTTGTCCAAATGAAGTTCTTAGCAATGCATATTACTAATCAAACATTAAGTTTTGATATATTTACGGTAGGAAACATACAAAATATCTTCATGGAACATGATCTTTACTTAATATCCTAATGATTTTTTTGGCCTAATGGATTTTTGGGAAAATGTATAATTTTGACCCATACAATGTATTGTTGGCTATTGCTACAAATATACCTGTGCTACTTATTACAGCTTTTGTGCTCCAGGCTCACATTGAACTAACTGGGTGATGTAAAAAAATAATAACAGCATATGACACATGCATTATATTTAAGTTCTTCTGAATATGTTGCTTTTATGTGAGAAACAGACACATTTAAGTCACCATTTATTGAAAAAAAGGGCATTTGATTGGTGTAAAATCTTACAAAATAAAATTGATTTAAAGGGGTCATTTGATGCGATTTCAATTCTTCCTTTCTCTTTGGAGTGTTACGGCCTAATGGATTTTTGGGAAAATGTATAATTTTGACCCATACAATGTATTGTTGGCTATTGCTACAAATATACCTGTGCTACTTATTACAGCTTTTGTGCTCCAGGCTCACATTGAACTAACTGGGTGATGTAAAAAAATAATAACAGCATATGACACATGCATTATATTTAAGTTCTTCTGAATATGTTGCTTTTATGTGAGAAACAGACACATTTAAGTCACCATTTATTGAAAAAAAAGGGCATTTGATTGGTGTAAAATCTTACAAAATAAAATTGATTTAAAGGGGTCATATGATGCGATTTAAAATGGTCCTTTCTCTTTGGAGTGTTACAAGCTCTTGGTGCATAAAGAAGATCTGTAGGAAAATAATGTGTTTTTTGAACCTTAAACCGCATAAACACATTTCACTACACCAAATACACAAAATAATGTTCTTTTTAGCAACATCATATGACCCCTTTAAGAGTCAGCCATGCCTACCTAAAACGGCTCATTCTAACACGCCGCCCAAGATTTGCATAACGCTACCCAAATGTTCACGCAAAGAAAGAAGGCGTAACTTTGATTCTCGCTGTAGTATTGTTGTTGCCATGTGTTTCGTTGTGAAAGCTAAACTACTTTGTTTGGCCTTCCAAAAGAGGACGATATCTGCTTCATCATGCTTTGAACTGATCCGTGCTGGTCGCTGAGGAAATACATGAACGAACATGGACGAAGCGGAGTCCAGCCCTGGGTCGTCACATGTGGTTGCTGCCGGCCTCCGCTCTCTCTAGCCGGCGGCCTCCGCTCACTCTAGCCCCCGGCCTCCACTCAATCAAGCCCCCGGCCTCCGCTCACTCAAGCCCCCGGCCTCCGCTCACTCAAGCCCCCGGCCTCCGCTCACTCAAGCCCCCGGCCTCCGCTCACTCAAGCCCCCGGCCTCCGCTCACTCAAGCCCCCGGCCTCCGCTCAATCTAGCCTCCGGCCTCCGCTCACTCTAACCGGCGGCTCTTTTGGAAGGACACGACTAGAAATCAGTGGTTAAGTTGTATTTACAACACTGTTCCAGAACACTTCAACCAAAATATTCAGATGTGTGCAGCGCATTTTATGGAGGACTTTTTTCTGATCCTGGGAGAGTAGACTACAATGCCGGCTGTTCTGACTCACAGACTGTAAGTACGTTTTCATTTTAATGATTTGCCACGGATGATTCAAACACGAGTTTTGAGCAGTGTAGAGTAGCACTTGTTGTTTGTCATTTCTCCGTTCACAAATGCAGACATGCTTTTATTGTTATAAGGCGTGATGCAACGCAGCGCGTAAAAAGACAGTATAAGTTATTATAATCCATAATTATGTCCCCACTGGATGCAACGAATGCCTCGTTTATAATGGGTTTTATTGGTTTTGTCTCGTCGCTCCGGCCGGACAGGGCATCACAGTATGGTGAGGGGCGTAACATTTCATTACACCAAATACACAAAATAATGTTATTTTTAGCAACATCATATGACCCCTTTAATGACTCAAAAACATCACACTGATCTTACAAGAGCTGATAATAAACAAATTGGTAATGTTAAAAATGTCCTCCATGTAAAATGTGGAAATACACTACTTTTACCTGCTTAAGTTGTGTATTTTTTGTGTTTTTCAGAACTCAACAAGATCCGTCTTCATTCACTTTTATTATACGGTACATATAATACGTGCATATTTTTCACAGACAACATTAAGAGAAGTCATCGATTGATGTTTTTCAGTCATTAAAACAGTTTCATTGTGCAAGATTTGATGCCAGAATAGACACCAATGTCTGTTTCTCACACAAAGCATCATATGAATTCAGAAGAGCAGAAATATAATGCACGACTGTTCTGTTGCGTTTGTCAATTGATCTCGAATCCTCTATTGCATAAAGCACTTCTGATGCTATTTGTTACAGATGATGGGATAAATCTTCAATAATGTCCATCTAATGGGTTTGATGACATCAGAGAAACATATCTGAAGGGTTCAGTTGTTATTTTTGTGCATGCAGCATTGGGTGAATCTCAACAGAACATGAGAGAGACAGCAAACAGAAACGTGAGATCATGCAGGGAATCCGCTACTGGGAAACCCTGTTCAATAGTGCATCAGCCGCCGCAGGCAATGACAGCACTGACGCAGAACACCAAGTATTGTGCACACTAGTGAGGGTTCATCATCATCAACAGCAACAACAACAGCAGCAGCACAGACAACACTGGCTTAAAGAGGCAGCTCAGCCAAAAATGATCATTCTGTAATCATTTACTCACCCTCATGTTGTTACTAACCTGCAGGACGTTTGTTCTTCAGTGGAACATAAAAATAGATGTTTAGCACAAAGTTCACGCTGCTCTTTATCATATAATGAAAGTGAATTTGAAATATAAAGAACATGCAAATATTTGATGCAGGGTAATTATAGTTCACTAAAAAACTAAAAGTAAAACCATTAAATACATTTTTGTCACTTGAAATAAAATAAAATAAAATGTTTTATTATACCTAGTTAACAAGGGAATTGTTCTCATTTTTACTTTAGTTTAACATACTAAAATGTCTAAATTTAAATAAAAATGTATAAAAACTATAGACATATATAAAAAAACTACTAAAAACACAAAAACATACAATTGAAAATTGAAATGAAAATGATAAAAACGGATTCAAAATATTAACAATGCAAAAATTTTTTTATTTAAATTTAGTTTAACATACTAAAATAAGTAAAAGTGAAAATAAGAAATAAAGTGTGTGTGTATATATATATGTACTTTAACTGGGGTGTCTATATTCTCCCTACCCTCTGTATATATATATATATATATATATATATATATATATATATATATATATATAATATATAACTACTAAAAATTACAAAAGCAAAGAAAAAAAAACCTAGCTAAAATTAAAATGAAAACGGATTCAATATGTATATACACACACACACACACACACACACACACACACACACACACACACACACACACACATATATATATATATATATAACTATCAAATTATCTCAGTGATACTAAAATAATGCCGATTTGATGTTTAATTAAGAATCAGAGCTGTTTGTAAAGAAAGTCATACTGGTTTGGAACGACATGAGGCCGAGTAAATGATGGACGTCGAAGCTTTCAAAGCTGTAGCTTGCTGTCGTTGAGTTACATTATTTTAATTATTGAATAAGGCACTTTCTTCCTCTCCAAACTCACGCATGATGACCTGGGCTTTGAGGTGATGGATAATTGATGCTGCATCCAGAATAGAAGCTCCAGTGTCAGTGACTGGAACAAAAGCATCAGCATGTACGTTCACGCTCGCATATCTGACAGATATTCAGTATTATGTGGCATTCAGAGAATATTTATTGCATCTCCAGGCGCCCTGGTGGGTTTGTGCCAGCGCTGGATTTGGGTGTTGTGTAATATGAGTTGCTATTCAAAAAAACGCATGCGGAGCCAAAGTGCATTCACGAAATGACACTTCATGGATCTCCTGCCCAGTGTTTGTTTACTGGAGCTGAGTCACTTCATAGTGTTTCCCAGAGGAGCTGTCAGACACACAGGCTACAGGGAATATTTAGAGTCTCTCTCTCCTCACATACTGTATGTGCATCTGTTCAAACACAGCACACAAAATACTTCAGTCGAAATTAATCAGAAATAACGATTCTGTCATTTACTCACCATTGTGTCAAAAAGTCTCTTCTGCTCTGCTTTAATCTGATACAGTAAAATACAGTAATATTTCAATTTCAAAACAGATGTGCTGCTTCATTTTTTTTAATGGAAACCATGATACATTATCATTCAGATTTTTTGGGCAATGTAAGAAATGAATGCTTTTATTCACTAAGTACGCATTCAATTGATCAAATGTACCAGTAAAGACATTTATAATGTTAGAAAGGTTTCAAAATAAATGCTGCTCTTCTGAACTTTCTGTTCATTTGCGAATCCTTAAAAATAAAACGCATCACAGTTTCCACTGAAATATTGTGCAGCACGACTGTTTTCAGCATTGATAATAATCAGAAATGTTT